AATATTTATCTGACTTATCTCCTAAATATTAAAAAAAAATCTTAAAATTATATAATTTTAATAAATTATTATTAAAAAAGATTAAAATACCCTACATTTAAAATATAAATTAGTGTTTTTTTCTTTTCTTTCTTGTAGTGCTTTATTAAAACAAAGCAATTTTAAAATTTTTTTTCTTAATCTTTAGAAGTGGATAAATACTAACTCCTTCATTTTAATATCTTCCAAATTTCTATAGATCACTATAAAGTATATATATATATATAGTATATAAATGCACAGGAATGCATGATCTTCTGGGTCACTGAACTTTTTGTGGTTTGGGCCACAACAGGACTTGGCCCAACTAAATTTCAGTCTATTAATGGGCCGATCTCAATCCTCCTATTTGGGCTCTGAGAGGCCATAGATTTTTTGCACGAACAAAGCTGGGGTAATGCAAGTAATTGTAGACCACTCAACTCAGGGATTAGAGGACAGCGAGAACAGCTAAGGTGGAACCCTTGGCATAGTTATCGTCAGAAATCAGAATGTTATGTGTGGGTTTAATAAAATTTAACAAAATTCCTAGTCTGTGTCAGATTTCTCTTCCTCATTTGTAATATCCTTCTTTACTTGTGATTTGTTTATTTTATTGTTAAATCTGTGTGTTAGTTTTTTGAACCATTGAACGAGGCAAGTATAAAGTGTAATACTACTGATAATCTGTTAATTTGAATAGAAATAATTTAATTTTTTTTAATTAGGTTTTTAATTTAAATTTTTTTGATTGAAAAATTAGTTTTTGAAAATTTTTTCTTTTTTGATTCGACCCCGGTTGGTTTGAGATTTATTTGGATTTTATTTTATTTTTGGATTTTTAAGAGTTTGTTTTAAAAAAATGCAATACTCTATTCTTATGATAAGAGAGTAAAATCATTATATTTATAACATATTTCATTACAAAAAGCAATAGCCTTGGACTACTTATAAGTTTTAAGTTATTTTTGTTGGAATGTTTTAGTGCTATAAGATGGATGATTAGATTGATTAATTATTAATGTCTTATAAATTACGTATGTTGGGGTTCTCTTCCCAGAAAAGGGGAGGTGGCTTCGATCTTGGGGTATAATGAAGAGAAATCACCGTTGAAGAAATTTACAATTACAGATAAGAAACCAAACTGAGTATAAAAGAAAATGAATGAAGCGGTTTTACAACAAAATAATGCCCATTTAATTAAAAAAGTTTCATTTAATTTTTTATAATACATATTTATATTCAATTTTTTATTATATAATTTGTTTGGATAAGTATAATATTAGAGGTAATAATTGCAATTCCCCTAACTTATGACCACTCAATAAACTAAATGATTAGGATGACCTAATTTTTTAAAATTTATTTTTAGAATATTGATTTTATTGAGTTTAATAAATAAAAATAATTAACAATTATAATGATTAATTAATAAATAGTAAAATAATTAATATTTATTATTTAATAAATTAAAATCATTTATATATTAATATTTTTAAATATAATAACTTATTTTGAAAAATATTTGAGTAACTTTAATAAAGTTAAAATTTTAATTTGGTCTCTTTATTTTGATAAAAAAATCATTTTTTAGTTTTTTTACTTTTAAAAATCTTTTATTTAATCCTTAAAGTTTAAAATTTAGACTTTATTTAATCTCTTTATTAAGTTTTAATATTAGATGACGAAAAATTCAAAAGAAATAAACCAAAAAAAGGCTTTTTTAAAAGTAGAATGGCCAAATTGTGGTTATTTTAGCCTTTTTAAACCTTTTTTCAATACTTCTAATTTAAAATTTTTATCATATAACATGTTACATATGTTAAACTTAATAGAAAAATTAAAAATGGGTCAAATTTCAAATTTTAAAAATAAAAAAAGAGGTTTTTAAGTAAAAAAACTAAAAAAATAAATTCTACCAAAGTTGAGGGACCAAAATGAGAATTTAATCGTTTAATAATTTATTGGGTAAACA